AAACTTTAGCCTCAATTCGCAGCCAAACCAACAATTTTTGTCAAACCTCTGTATTATTCTGTTATCGCGTTTGAATCGCTTGTTTTTCAAACCAATTTTTCTCGACTATCTCTCAGCCTTTTATGTTCAATAATTTCATTTCAAGTTTTCAGCTCATTTTTCATCAATCATATTAAGTTTCATAAAGTTGTTAATAAGTTTTACTTTTTATAATTTCAATATGTTTTTAATAAATTTCAGCGCCTTTCTCTTAACGTGTTTAACCAGTTTATCACTCGCTAATAAAATTGATTGTAAGAAAAATATGTTTTTTTTAATTTTAAAGTTTTTTAGACCAAATTATGTGAATTTTCTCCACTTTGTTCACATTACTAGCGACTTATTTACTAGAAAATGCAATTAAAATAAGTGTTAACGGGTTTTTGGTTTCTTATACTTTTACAGCATTTATTCCGGAGTACTGTATACCCCTCAGCTATAACCACAATATAAATAAAGTGCAATTACAAAGTAGTGGAAACGATTCCGTACTAATCATCACCGCATACCTCTACGAAGGCTTAAAACTGACCGATGGCTTTGAATGTCATGTGATGGTTACGGGACCCTCGGATACGGGTATTGTGACCACCATTAAGAAGGGGTCCTTTCATGACAACGGCACCTTCTACTTCAGGAGCGGCTCCAACCCGGAGAAAGCCTGGTCACCCAAAGGGGATGACTATAAATCTAAGGAGATAATAGCGGTGCCCAAAGGGGGGGGGGAGGAGAGCAACATATTCCTACGATTTAAGCCCAACGCTAAGCAAACCCAACACAACGCCGGCTTTGAAATAGCGTTCAGAGGTTCGCGAGATTCTGGTGTTTATTAAAAACCAAATTAATTAGAAAATCACGTATAGTTAGTGTGCATTCAATGCATTGTATGATTGTAAGATTTATTTGAATCATCAGTGACTAAGCATATGAATTTATGAACCTATTGGATAGACAATTAAACCTATTAAACAAACAATTGGATAGACATATAACAAAATGAGACTTTTTTGAGAAATAGCATTTACTGTATTGAATACTTTTATTAAACTTTTATACTGAATAAGCACACTCAGAATGAATATTACAGTATAAAACAATTAATTATTAATTTGGTTATAAAGTTTATAATATAAACTAAACTTGTGCTAAAATGAATTGATTGTTTCAATTGTTGCATTGAAGTTATAACGGAAACAACAGACCCTCTGGGGAGCACTCAATCAGATACTGATTTGTACTGAAAATTTGAATTTCAAATCCGAGTGTTGGCCGCAATCAGTGATTGGACAACAAATCATGTCTAACAGACCTCTCAATGGGAATGGTTTTCCACAAAACAAGAAAAAACGATCGAATGGCTCGAGTAATGACAACCCACCGGCGCTTTCCTATGATCTACAGCCGGGAACCTTCAGACAGACCAACCCTATGGCACGGAGAGGGGGCTTGAGAACACCGCCGCCAACCCGCGGGCCTCCCATTCCTCCCATT